AAGATGGGAAGGGATGGGAAGGGGAAACAAAGGAGGCTACAATGCTTGATAAGAAATGTACTCATTATCTTGCCCATGTAATTGAAACTACTCTATACAGTATTTTCACAATAAAAAAAAAAAAACAGAACCCCAAAGGAGCAAGCTACCAATTCTGAGTAGTTAATGGAGATAGTTGTGGATTGGTGGGGGAAGGGTCTTCACAATCTATGATCTTGAACATTGACAGTGAATATGATTTCCTCAGGAGGAGAAAACTTCAGGATGTACACGGGTATCTGAGATAGAAGAAATGCCATATACAGAGTGGGAGAATGGCAAGGGGTTTCTGGGATTAAGAAGTGCTGAGTTTGCCCACTTCAACACCCGAGTTTTCCCTTAAGCCTTTGGGTCTCTTTAGACCCCAATGGTGAGAAAAATTAGCTTAAGTTAATGTATTAATAGCCTGTTTCTTCTAGGCATGTCAGAATGCATTAAATTACCCAAAGAGGAATCCCTAAGGCTCAAACTTAAATAGTAATTTTCACAATGGTACTCCAGAAGTACAGGTGATTTGTAGGTTTCATTTAATAACTCCTTCTTAGTGGAAAATATACATCACTTAACCTAGTTAGCAAGATGGAGCTCAGAGCTGCTCATAAAAAGCTATACACTCTGGGAAATAATAAACATTTTACTATAAACCTGGCTTTGCCAAATAATCCAAACCATCCAGCATTTCAAGTATGGACATGTCTGCAGATGCACCTCTCCTTCTCCTCCTCCTTTTTTTTTTTGACCAGTTTTGAGGCTTAAACTCAGGGCCTCGGCACTGTCCCTGAGCTCAAGCCACATCTTCACTTCCACTTTTTTGGTAGTTAAGTGGAGACAAGAGTCTCAGGGACTTTCCTGCCCCAGACTTCCAATGGTAATCTCAGATCTCAGCCTCCTGAGTAGTTAGGATTAAAGGTGCGAGCCAAAGGCACCGATTCTTCCTTCTCTTTGGAGACAGTGTTTCACTATGTTGCCCAAGCTGGCCACAAACTTGAAATCTTCCTTTGTCAGACTTCTGGTTTCATAGGTGTATGCTGTGATGCGTGGTTTCTTCTTTTCTTTTACCATTGCTCTCTCTGCTATTTGTCGGACAAATTGATTAAGCACTAGCTACTAGCCATTACCAAACTGATTTAGTTACACTGTTGTTTGTTGTGCTTATATTTAATTTCTTTTTAAGGATTATAAATTTTTCCAATATAGAGACACTTGAATCATCACAGCACCAGGGAAACTGATTTTTAAACTAGTTATTTTTAAAATTAGTAGGACTCCCTATGATTTTCTACCTTTGTGCTTTGGCATTTTTCAAGTAAAGATTTTTTCCAAGTATATATCAGGGCCAAAAAATTTGATTCTCTCAGAGCCTAGTCTGAAAGCCAGTTTATGTTCATATGTTATTAGCCAATGAAAATGTTGGAATAAATTGTATATTTTCCATTCTATGTTCTATATATCATTCTATGTTCAATATCTCATAGAATTTCATTTCCTCATTTTGAAAAAGAGGAAAATGAAGTGCAAAGATGTTCAATACTTTGATCGGGATCCTGCAGAAATTGCATGAGAACAAAGAGCCCAGAGTTCCTAGTTCCCTTCTCAACACACAGTTCAAGTGCAAAGCAGGAGTTGATTCAGATGGTTTTACGAATACTGCCTCTCACTACAGTATTGTACCAGCCAGGACCTGGAGGGGCTTGCTGTCCATTCTGCAGTCTGAGAAAGTGAAGAACACTGCATGATTTATGATGAAGTGGTTTACAACAAGGCTGTGAAAATGGAAAAATCAGAAGAGGAATAAAAGACGCTCCTTCAAGTCAATTAAAACCTGTGTTTCTTTCTAGGCAGTTACTACTGATAGCAGCACTAAAGGGAATACAAATTTTATTAGTGTCCATCACCTTGTCAATGGACACTACTCACCACTGGTCAGTGTGATGGGTGTGTGAACAAATGCTATCCTCACCTCAGCTTTACCCAGAGCAACTCCTGTGGAGTGAGCACATGATATGAACACACAATCTTATTAAACATACAGCTCCTCTTAGTTCTTGGGTCATTCTTATTTTAATTGGAAAATATTCTGTCAATGGTTTTCAAGAAGTACAATGTAAAGGGTTCTTAAGCAACCCAGTTAACAGATACTACATATTAATATTTTAAAGTAGAACACATTTATTAAAAAACTATTTTCGGTGATGGGAGAATGAAAGGATTTTTGTTTGAAATAAGCCTCTTGCTTATAAGGAAGAAGAGATTGGCTTTTCTAATCAAGGGCTTTTAACAGAAATTTCATTGTATCATCACAGATAGAATTTCTTGACACATTGTTGCTCCTGGCAACAGTAGTATTAATGTATGATAGAGGGAAAGAGACAAAGGACACCAGTATCAGCTTGGATAATAATTGAATGGCTTTAATTTTCTTTTAGAACTGGTTGCTTGGCTTTAATAATAGTCCAAAGGTTGGCCAGTAAAACTGGGAGGTAAATAGATATATGTACACATTTTTGCTTTATCTCAGTGGAAAAAAATTAACACAACTACAATGGTCTCATTTCTCACAAGACACAATGAAACCAGATCATTTGGGAAAAGTAAGAGTGTAGCTTCCATTTCTTCCTATTTTGATTTTCTCAGTTTCTTTTCAGATTTAAAAATATCCTTTTTATAGATAACAAAGAAAGGTCTGAGCCGACATGCAGCATTCCACAGGGTACACTGAGTATCCTTAGATTCAGATGTAGTATGATTTTCAGAACTATACTTCTCAGGTTGTCTCATTCAATTTAAGTAGGAATGTGAGACAAGTTGTCTTTTAGAGGTACCCAAGACTATTCCTTGTGTTCAGAGGCAATGTTAGCTATGTTTTTTCCTCTTAGTGGATCTTCAATCAAAAGTGTGAGGATGATCTATCTTCCTTTGAGTGCTGGTCCAGAACTCAGGGGGTGTCAGCAAGGAAAGAGACAAAACATGCTCTGTTCTCTCTGCTTGGGGCAAAGACTGTGTACCTGTGATTGTGTTAGATGAGTGGCCCAGCAGAGGTGCCATCTGCTGTGAGATTCACACTGGGTATAACACACACACACACACACACACACACACACACCATATGCATGTAGGCACAACTTATCCTCATAAAGTCGTCTGCTCTAATAGAGAGAATAGATTCCTCACAGATAATCCTGGCCCTAATGATGTAATAATTACAATTGTGAAAAATATTCATGAAGGAAAAATACAGGTACCATGCAAGGGCCTAATTTAGTTGGGAACCATGTCTGAGGATGCCTCCTTGAGAAATCTTTAGACTGAGAAACAAAGGAGGATATGGCCAAGGAAGGCTGAGACTGTGGAGAGAAGAGGATGCACTGGGGACTAGAAGAGGAGGTGTAGAGGGCCAGAGGCAGGAAGGCATTGGAAACACAGGATGCCACTATAAGAGATGGGCTGCAGTAACAGGCCCACGGTAGGGAAGCTGAATGTTCTGGACTTTTGGCTCTGTTTTGGACATGGGTGCCCTGCCTATAGAAAAGTTTGTTTTGATTGTTTGTACTGTTTTCTCAGGGAGACAAAATGGTCAGATTGCTTTCTAGGAGGATTTCCAGGACAGCATGAGGATTCAGTGGTCCCATGAATGAGAACTGCCAAGGCCTGTGATGAGCCTGGCAGGAACAGG